ATATATATATATATATATATATACACACCAGATTAACTCAATTTTTAAAAAGTATTTGCACAGAAAGATAGCTCAGGGGGCAGGAATGCATAGGAAAGAAGGACAGAGGGAAGAAGTGAATGCAGGGAGGAAATGGGAAGAGAGCTGTTACATTGTAGGGAAGTATAGTTAATGTCCTAAAACAAAATGTGTGTGAACTGCTGTATAGAAAATGAATTGACTCTGTAAACTCTCACCCAAATCACAATAAAAATTTAAATAAGTAAATGAAAGCACCCATTTTGAGCCAAAAGCTTATAATTTCTAGCCTAGCCTCTTTAGCATTCAAGAAATCATAATAAAGGATTGGATTCTTTCCTTCTTTGTACTTCAGGACTACTCAAAAGTCATGGCACTGTCTCAGCCCACACCCTTCACACTTCCTGCTCTAAACCTCTTGTCATTGTGGATAACCACTTGGCCCTGGAGTCAGACAGGCCTCGCCTCGTTTAAAATCCAGCTCTACCTACTTACCAGCAGTGGAAGTAGGCACATCTGAGCCTCAGTCCTTCATCTCTATAATTGGGTAGTAACATCTGCCTCATATGCTCACTGGAAGGATTAAATGAGACGCTAGCTAAAAGCACTGTTTCTAGAGGTGACTTTCCTGGGGGTGAGACCCATCTTAGTTTCTCATTAAGTTATTTAACTTTTCTAAGTTGCAGTTTCTTTATCTGCAAGAATGAGGCTAAATAATAATATCCTGCTTTATATAGAGAAGATAATGTTGCTGTTGTTGGTATGTGCTGTCAAGTGAATTCTGGCTCCTAATGACTCCACGTGACAGAGTAGATCTGCCCTATGGCTATAATCTTTATGGGAGCAGATCACCAGGTCTTTTCTCCCGTGTTGCCTCTGGGTGGGTTTGAATTCAGTTAGCAGCTGAGTGCTTAACTGCTGCACCACCCGGGCTTCTTAAAGAAAATAATAGTGGTAAGTAATAATAATACATTAGTACAAATCCTACCACAGTAAATTCTGAATGGACAGTAGCTGGCATCACTATTATCCTGAGGGTAACTGGCTCCTTTGAGAATTTAACGAAAGGTAAGACCCTCTGCCCAATGTACAGAGGCATAGATTTTTATTTAAACCCCAAGCGACTAACAAACACCCTAGCACCCATTCACAGGCACTGTGTTTAGGACCCCATGTGTTAGAATTTATTTCACATACTTGCTTCTAAATCAGGTGTGTTTTGTCTTCTTTACCTTAATAATAAAGCAACATCAGGGCAAGGACTGGGCCCTCTCACTCCTCAGTGTCCCACAGAGAGAGCCAAGAAAGCATATCGTGCTCCCCTCAACTACATGTTGGAATTCTAACCCACTTGGGAACAGTCTCTCTGTTGTTGATGTGCATCAATGCAGGGTATGTCTTAAACCTAATCACTTTTGAGATAAAAACACAGATTAGGCACAGAAATAAGCAAGCACAAAGTGCGGAAAGATGCCACATGGAGATCTCCAAGGAACTGAAGCATGCCAAGAGAGAGAAGGACCTTCCCCCAGAGCAGGCAGATAGAGAGCCGTCCCCTAGAGCTGGTGCCTGGAATTCAGACTTCAAGCTCCTAAACGGTGAGAAAGTAAACTTCTGTCATTAAAGCCATCCACTTGTGGTATTTCTGTTATAGCAGCACAAAGAAACTCAGACAAGGCCACAGAGTCTGAATTCAAGTCCCTTCCTAAATATGTGACCTCGGGCAAGTCACATCATCTCTCTGCATCAGTCCCCTCATCTATAGGATGAAGTATTAGCGTATTAGCTTCACTCTTGCAGGTGCCATAAAGTACTAAATGGTCTGGGGAGCACTTGGGACAGTAGCTGGCACAGAGCAGACGCACACTGTCTTAGTTCTCTGGTGTTACTACAGAAATACCACAAGGGGGTGGCTTTAGCAAACATAAATTTATTCTCTCACAGTTCAGTAGCAGCATTTGAGAAAATATCCAAATTCAGGACACCAGCTCTAAGCGAAGGCTTTCTCTCTGTTGGCTCTGCCATGAATGATCCGACAGCTCAGGCTAGTCACTAAACAGGGCTGAGTCCAGAACGTGCAGAACATGCACCTCTAAGGTAAAGGACAAGGCCCTGTGGTATCAACAGACTCCTCCAGATTCAAGAGGAAACAAGGTCTACCAGAACTTTCTTAAAGGCCCCTCATTTGTGGTGAGTAGGGAGCTCTGGTGGCACAGTGCCTAAGGCATTTGACTGCTAACCAGAAGGCTGGGGGTTCAAACCGACCAGCCACTCCTCGGAAGACTGGGAAATATACTTCTGCAGAGATGTTGTTGTTGTTAGGTGCTGTTGAGTTGGACCCGACTCATAGCAACCCCTCCTTGGGTTTCCGAGGCAGTATCACTACAGAAGTAGATCACCCAACCTTCCTTCCAAGGAGTGGCTGGTGGGTTTGAACCACCAGCCTTCTG